ATATAATGATAATAATATTTTTAGTATTTTTCTATAACGATTGTAAAGAAGTGAAATTATATACATTAATAATAATAATTATATAATTAATAAATTATACACAAATATATACTTATATATACTATTTTTGATATGTATGATTTAATTGATATAATTGATATAACTTTTTTAATAACATGCTCTATGTCAACAAATAATTCATTGAATTATATTACTATATAAAATTATTATTAGTTTGATGCAAAAGATTTGTTGTTTTGTCTATCTAATACCTTACCTCATAAATGATATTACTTCAATATTACTTTGTTTTCATAAGTTTCTGTGTGTTTGGCATTGATTATATATATATATATACATATTACGAAAAACTATACAGAAACTTTAATCTTATTTTATAGGAATTTAAAAAAAATTTAATCATTAAGAAAATTATAGTTAACGGCAAACGTAGCTGTGCAACCACGCAGCAAAACATTAAAATTTAAATATTAACATAGAAATATTATCTTACAAAGCTTTATATAATATACAATATTGCAAGGTAGAGATGACGTTTAATGAAATAAAATGCTCTACAACTTGCTTCTAGCGATATCTAACTAAACATCAAAAATATTTTATGCAGAATCTTCTATGCAGCTAGTCTATCTCTTTGCTGATACTAATCTTGAACACGCTGAACGGTCTATCTCTAAAAGTCTTCCTAGGACGAGTTATTTTTCACTTTTGCTTTGTACATATATTTACAAATTTACAGTGCCACACAGCTTGAAGAACACATTTATCCACTCTGTATAGATCGTTTTTTCTTTTTTTTTTTTTTTACAGCAGTGACTTCTCATAATGAAATAGTATTGATCATCGACTAGTCTTCTTACGCCTTCGTTTTGACTCACCGGACGGATTCCATTCTGGATCAACATCGGTGTAACAATAATTTACCTTAGGAACGTTTCTCTTTGAGCTTCTCGTTTGTCTAATAGATGACTGCATTTTTTTCGCCTTTTTACACGTGCTATCCTGTTCCATTGTCTCTGTAGTTATACGTTTCAGAGATGTCGGATTCGTTGCTGTTATGTCTCTACGCTGCGCAGGTGTTTTAAACGTTCTGTCTTGACAACGTTCCAGACACACTGCGTTAGTCTGATCACCGTTCGGTCGAAACTGGCGTTCGTGATTTCTTGTACTTTCTTTCACAAGATTGTGATGTGCATTAGAAATGTGGATATCTTTGCAGTAATCCCTTCGCACTATATTCGAATTGAAGTGATAACTGCCATGTGGATTATTCTCCTCTTCAGTGGGGGATAATTCGTATGATGATTTAATAATTTGTGTAGGATGCTTCTGTGTACTATCTAATGCTTCTAAGGCTGCTATGGATATCATGGGAATTCCAGGATAGTTATCCAATTTTTCCGCCTTGATGGGTACCTTTTCATACACCATAGACATCATGGCGTGAGCCTTCAATCTCTTTTTCAGCGGCAACTTGTTCTCCATATCTTTCTTGAATAACTTATCCGGTTCTCTTTGCACGTCCAGTTTCTCCAACGTATTATTTTGTAGCGATACTCTTTGCTCTATTTTACGCAATATTTGATCGTCATACAATTTACTTATTACCGCTTCACTTTTTGTCCTATCGTGCTCTTGGACGGCGGATGTTTGTACTGACGAATGCGCGGGCAAAAAATAAGAATTACTTTCAATACAAGACACATGGGAATCTGTGGCAGGGTTGATTTAATAATTTGTGTAGGATGCTTCTGTGTACTATCTAATGCTTCTAAGGCTGCTATGGATATCATGGGAATTCCAGGATAGTTATCCAATTTTTCCGCCTTGATGGGTACCTTTTCATACACCATAGACATCATGGCGTGAGCCTTCAATCTCTTTTTCAGCGGCAACTTGTTCTCCATATCTTTCTTGAATAACTTATCCGGTTCTCTTTGCACGTCCAGTTTCTCCAACGTATTATTTTGTAGCGATACTCTTTGCTCTATTTTACGCAATATTTGATCGTCATACAATTTACTTATTACCGCTTCACTTTTTGTCCTATCGTGCTCTTGGACGGCGGATGTTTGTACTGACGAATGCGCGGGCAAAAAATAAGAATTACTTTCAATACAAGACACATGGGAATCTGTGGCAGGGTGTATACACTGTCTGCAATGCGTGACTATATCATACGTACAATTTAGGCATGAGCAGTGCGATCTACCGCATGAATTGGCAGATTTTGTATGGGAATGGAGCGAAGTTGTGGAATTAATTTGTAGACTACACGATACGGAAGTGCAATGCTTGTGATACGGCATGCAGAGATCTGTACCGGCAGCACAATTCCCGTAAATCGAGGATATCGTTGTGGGATGAGTGACTGGAATATGTAACGAATGCTGCGAATCAATCACTTCGTGCGGATGCGTATGTATTCCGTTGCATCCTTGTATTCCGCAATTCGGTGTAATATGATTGCTAAACTCTTGTTTAATATTCTGTCTATAAGTAAGGATGGATTTGGATTTTCGTTTATCGATCGACTTGCTGCTGATGCTCACATTCGCAACATTCGTGTCCTGATAAATTTGCGATGTCGCGGGTAATGTCACGTCGGCCGACAATGAACCTTTCTTACCATAAGATTTCATCTCTGCGATACTCATCAAACTACTTTCCTCCTCAGGTTCGATTTTTATACTCTTGTTCCTGCCGACAGAAAACTTATTTTCTTGACATGATAATTCTTTGCCATATTGCGGCAGATCCAAATTAAAAGAAATATGCTCCGACATATTAACGACTTCAAACGATGCACAATTCTCTGGTGGGATCATCCAACTTTTCTCCTTAACTGGACAATTCTCATCGTCGCTATTGTGATCTCGTGCATTTTCTACTGCTTTATTGATGATGTATAAATTGCTATTGGGAGACTTTTGTAAGAGCACAACTGTTTCCCCGTTTAATATAACGTTCGTATTTTCCTTTATCGACTGCACATTATTTTCTACCATATTTAAATTGTTAGACAACGTGTCCGTTTCATAATTTATAGTGGTTTCAACGATATGCGGAACGCTATTGCTTGAATTGTTTACGCGATCATCGGGATTTATATCAGTTGTCGATGTCACTTCAACATGAAGCGCTACTTTGTCCAATGCGTCCTCTGGATAAATTCCAACTATTTTATTGATTACGTCAGCAGTTGGGTTTTCCAAAATTTGAGAAACTGTATTCGACAGGTCGTTGGTACCGACTTCATCGTCGGTAGTTTGATTATAAGAATCTCTTAACGATGCATAATCTTTAACTTTGATTTGTTCACATTGCAATTCACGCTCAGTTTTTAGATGAGATACATGTTGACTTGCGATAACATTGGCTAATAATGAAAGCCCGTCTATATTATCCTGTAATTCTGCATCTTGAATGATACATTTATCTTCTGATGAATCCCGAATACTTTTTGTGTGAGATATTTTATAAAGCTTTTTCAGTAGTTTATGATCATGTGTTTGGTCAAAATTATGATCTTTCTCATCAACTTTTGTATGCAATACAGAAGATCTTTTTAATTCTTCTACATTATGTTCTTTATCATAATTCCTTTTGGATTTGAGTTGTGCACCTTCTTTATGATCTGTTTTCAGGTCGATATCTTTTTCATCATTAACCTCTTCTTTTTTTGAACACAGTGATGTATTGAAGATATTAGAAATATTTTTCTTATCAGCTGTGCAATTTTCAAAAATAGTTTCTCTGATTTTATGATTAGAGGCTTTACTATTTCTTATGTTATCGCTTACTTTGATGCAAGTACCAACTTCTAAATCTGTTTGTACATTAGAATGGTCTCCATCCGTTATATTAAGACTTATAGTATTATTTGCAATATTGTGTCTTGCTGATACATCCTGAGATTCAGGCTCCTTTGGTTGCTCTATATTTCCAGTAACGCATAAGTGTTGTAACCGTTCAGATTCTATTGCATCACTTATTGGTACCTCTGGATTATTTATAGTTGTTGTAGTAAAAGTTTCAACTGCTATTGCGGAAACTGCATATTTTTTTTTATTTAATTCATTGTCGACTACAGTTGATTTCAAACACTGCGTTTTGTTATTCATTAATTTATGAATATGTTCTTGCGCAGATTTTTCATTGTCAATGAAATCATCTATTCTTTTGTCAATTGTTTCATCTTTTTCATCATTTGTATAATGCGTATGTATTGAAGACGAAATTACATACAAGGATTTATCTTTAGTTGTACTAAGATAATTAGCATTATGATTAGAATCAACATCTTCATCTTTGGAATTTTGGGTACATATCGCGGGAAGAATATTTACAGTTTTAGAGTGCTCTGTTCCTAAATCACAGATTTTCCTTAAACTTTCAACTTTTTTACATGTTTCACTTTCAGGCGGAGTATCTTTTTCTAGCAGTCGTTTAATCACAGTCTGTGCATTATATCTATTGTTCATTTTTTCATCATTCTTTGCGTCCAAAGTAGTATTAACATCATGGCATTTACTAATGTTATTAGTGTCATTTGAAACATCCAATAACAATTTTGTAGAAATTTTAGATTTATTAGACTGTGGACTATCAACGATTACAGAAGAAGAAACTGTTTGGGGTATCCCAACAATTTTACTTTTGTCACTGCTGTTCACATCCATTAATTGTTTTGTAGATATTGTGTTACCATTAACCGATGTACTTCTATATTCTGTTTCAAAATATTGTATTGATTTCATTTTATCATTATCTAATTTTATGTCCCATATTGCAGATGCACTCGAATTATTCTTTAAACATGTATTTTCTGTGGCAGATATGGATTGAAGGAAATCTTCCAATTGCTGATCGAGAGCCATTTTCTTCAAGGAGGTTACATTCTCTGCCATCTGCTGTTTCTTAATCTTCTGTGACGCTCTTATAGCTTTTGTGTCGAGTTTTCTCTTAGCTTCTTCAAGCCATGCAACTTTTCTTGATTTCCTCTTCTTTATACATCGTTCGAAAGCAATATCAGTTGTGAGATCAATTATTACAATTTTATTGGATTTTTTAGCCTTCTTTTGTGGAAGCACTTTTGGTTTTATCTGCTTAAGAATAGTCCGTGCTACAGAAATATTTGTAGAAATCGTGCCTAAAGGTTTAACATTTGTTTGTTCTGTTAAATTTGAGGATTTTAAATTATCTAATAAAACAGAGTCATTTTGTGTATTCTTATTTGAGAAAGTAAGATTGGACTTATTTTTTATACAATCCAAATTTTCATTTTCGCGTGATGTAACTTCCAGCTAAGGATACATACAAGCTTCATTATTCTCCTATCAAAATAACCTTAACCTATTACCTTAACTATTGTCTTTATATAAATCTCATATTAATAAAAGTAAATTAAACTGTATAATATAAAGATTTAATATAAAAAGATTTTTTTAATGTAAAGATTTTAATGTAAAGATTTTACACCTCTTTTACAAGATATTTGTTCTAGCTTGATATTATTACTGATTACATATATTATATGAAAATCTATTAATTATGATTAATGGATTTTACAAAATAGAGATTTCCTGACAATTGCATAAAAATGATTTCTCTCTATCACTCTTTCTCTTTCTACTCATATAAGTAAAGTTCCAATATTTGAAACTGATTTTATAATTAATTAAGTATTAAAACAAATGATATTTATAAAAATATGAAAATGATAGCAAAATATATATACCTGTTGTAAAGCAGTTTTCTTGGATAAGTTTGGAGTAGTAGTTGCATTTTCACTTTTTTTCTGCCATATACCTTCTCTGGTCTCTCTACAGAATTGTATAAATAATTCGCAGCATTTTCTTATGTCAAATTTCTGCTGCATTAGATATCTTGCTGGATTTGGTTGACACTTTGGCACTTTTGGTAATACATCTTCTAACACGCACGGTGGGAAAGCAGCTGGTGGTGCTCCCAGAGAGGCAATTGCGGTTGTAGTAATTTGACTTTTCACGGCCATATCGCTATTTACCTTTCTCCAAAGATAATAAATAAGAAGATAACGAATGTACATAATATTTGATTCGGGATGCGCTGGAATTTTATTAGTTACTTTTCTGAAATCACATAAAAAAAAAAACATATAACCGTACAAGAAATTTTAATATATACACCTTTTAAAATGCAAAAATGATTTTCTAGATACATTTTTAATATAAACATTGAATTGACAAATAAAAAGCTACTAATAAATAATTGTGTATGAATCATAAAAAATAAAAATAATTATGTAATATAAAATATATTTTGGACGGTATAATTTTGATGCAATTATATAATATAATTTCAAATAGTAAGGTAAAAAATGATATAGGCTAAAAGATAGCCTCAAATTTAGATTGTGTTTACATCTTATATTATATACTTACTTCATTATCGGATCTAAAATACGGTGATAACCCCGGCACATAAACTGTATTTTTATCAAAGTATCTAACAAATGTTCGGTAGAATGTTCTGGATAAAAAGTATAAAGAAATTTTATTTTTATCAGTAATTAAATCGATGAATTATACACATATATAAGTAATGCTTAAAATACATACCTAGATATATATAAAGACAAGAAATAAGCCTTGTACATATTCTACTATGATCTTCTTTACTTTTTCTTGAAGCTTTTAATTCCATATCTATGTACAATGCCAATAAATCGGACATGTTATTTAAGTAAATAAATCTATTACGGTCCTGAAAAAAAATTAGTTTTGTTTGTTTAATTAAATAATATTATTAGAAAAAACTGCATGTACAATAAAAATAAAATTATACAAATAATACAATAAAATTGAAATTTTTAATTCCATGTCTATATATAAATGCCAATAAATCGAACATATTATTTAAGTAAATAGATTTTTTATTACGATTTTGAAAAAAAAAAAGATTAATTTTGTTTGTTTGAATATTATTATCGAAAGCTGCATAAACAATAAAATAAAAATTGTATAAATGTGATATAGTAAAATGGGCTGTTGAACTTACCTCAGAAAGCTCGCGATAGATATATAAGAACAAAAATAAAGTTTCACTAATAGAATCCTTCAGCTTGGCTGCTTTTAAAGGCTTTGTATAACATTCATTCACACTGATACTTACATTTCTGTAATAAAAGGATAAAAAATATACATTTAGATTATAAGCAATAAAATGCTTATAATAATACATATATATATATATTAATTGTAACTTAGTTGTATAAAGAATGAACAGTAAATTCAAGAGATGATTTACAAAATAAATGTATGTTACAATGTATACACTTTTCTAAATAAGAGTAATAAAAATTATTAGTAAATGTCAAGTATATTAAAATTTAAAAAAAAATTGATTACATTTTTATAAAGTTGAATATATTAATGGAATAAAATATTACTAATCTATTAAAGTATAATTGTTGTAAAAAGGAATATGTTAATGGAATATAAGATATAATGTTGATAACTTATAAATCCTTGTACATTTATAAATTATATTTAGTTTAATAAGTAGATCGGATTATATAAATACTTTCTTCACAAATATGTAACATATATATATCATATAAGATAATATCTTTTTGACCTTCAGACTGTTACAATTTGATTAAGTAATTGAGAGGGTCAATGTAATAGCAGAATGACCCTCGAGATCAGTTTAATAATGATACAGTATAAAGGAAATGATGTGTGTAATGCACACTAACTAAGACTTTTGAAGAGAGTTAATCAAAAGAAAATAATAAAAATAGAATACATCAAAAATTATGGATTAAAAATGCCTTTTATGTCCCTATATTACAATTATTATATAATAATGTCATTTAAATCTTAAAATACAGATATAGATAAATGCACATTATATCTTAAAACATTAAACGTTTAAAATCATTGAGATTTCTGTTTTTACATACACAATAAATTATTAAATAACTCTTATATTGCTTGCAAAATTATCATTTTTAACACATTAATCTAAATAAATTTAACTCGTAAATATTTCAATTATTGTAATTATTGTAATTATTGTAACTGCTGTAATTAATATATTTATTAACATATAATTTTCTCCTTTTTTAAAATTTTATTTATTGCAAAATATGATTAACAGAAATATATGAAATTTGTTGCAATATTTTAATTAACATTCACGTAGAAACAAACACAAGGATAAATAAATTTAAAAATTTTCGAAAGTTACTTAATAATTCAGATTTTATATAAAGCTCCCACAAACACATTGATTACTTATTTTTAGTCAAGGATGTCAATAAGTGAATATGTAGTGTAACACACATGTCGTGCAATAGTATCCTGACACCAGTGCTCAAAGCAGTAATACTGGTGAGTTGCATATATAGTATTACAGGAAATACCGAGTGTAGATTACCTGATATAATACTGCATAAGCTCTGCCAAAGAAGCCATACTTTTGTCTGCGTATATACGTTTACACATTTTCTTAAACTCTGAGACCCATGGAAATAATTCTATAACTGTTGATTTGGCGTCGTCACTGTTTATTTTAGACCCTCCATTGTTAAACATTGCGTTTTTTATATCTAAACATCAATCAAGACGTGCGTATTTTTTAGCATATCTCCAGCCGCGTTAAACACAAAAACGGACAATTATAACAAATTTTTACTAGAAACTACGCAATGTATACGTGTGTATGTATGCGCGTATATATATAAAGATATCAAATATCAGTTGATAAAATATCCCGATTGCGACTATATTGTGAAATTTATGTCACTTTTTCATCTCGATTACGACAATCTTTAACACGATTTTATTTAAAAAAATAGTTTCCGCCAATTAAAAAATTCATCTAACGATTTTAACGGGGTTTCGAGAAATATCGTCGTTTTGGTTAAAAATATCTAATAACGCGTATCTGACTTTTTTTGCCGCATCGAAAGAAGAGAAAGCGCTCTCCGCCAATGCAACTGTTAGATTCTTACGCGAAATGAAAGGAAACAAAAATTCAGGCACGTTTTAAAACTACTCATTTTCTTACAACCCTGACCATTCTTAACATCTGCCGCAGCAGGTGCAGAGACCCATGCAGACTATAAATTGCCCAAAAGCCGGTTGTATATTTCTGTAACGTTCACACAGCTGAATGCCACATTTTCCGAGCCGTTTCACGACGTAGTTTCGAGGGAGGGCGAGGGAGGGCGAGAGACAGGCAAACGGACCCTAAAACGTTCAGAGTCACCGGAAACCGGATTCCTAAAACGCTCGTTAAACTCGCATGTCGCTTTTGAAATTTTTCAATCGAGATTACGTTAATCTCTTGGCATTCCGATGTTTTTAACGCGACTCACCGGCGAGTGTCGAAAGCCGATAAAGTAATATCGTCGCCAAGGAACGCGGACAACGCCAATAGTAAATCCCCGAGGACGTATCGATTGTCTTGAAACGACGTCGAGCGAATTCGTGGAATATACTTCTCCGATGCGTTCGTACGTTAGCGACGTTCTCTGTCGTAATTCTTATACCGAGATGAAAAAGTCAAGGAAATAACAATGGGCATCCGCGTTCGTCGTTCACGAACGAAACGTGGGCCCTCCCCCCCCCCCCCCCCCGGGTTCGAAGCACGAGCACCAGGCTTTTGTGTTCGATCTCGAAAGTTCGTTTCGAGGAACAAAAATGTGCCGGGTTCTCTCGCGTTCTCTCGATGCACCACGCGAAGAAAAACACACTTGTATTTCGAGTCACGTCGTCGTCAGGCACTCGCACCTCGGCACCGTTCATCGACTTGTATTTTGTACACACATGAACCAAGAAGTTTAATCACGAACTCGTGAGCGGCCAGGAGAAAGAGAGAGAGAGAGAGAGAGAAAGAGGAAAGAGGAAAGAGGGGAGAGAGAGAGAGAGAGAGAGAGAGAGAGAGAGAGAGAGAGAAGGGGGAGGGGAAAGGCCACGCGGCTAACGCGTTGCTCTCAGGATCGGGACGCGAACAGAGTTCGTAGAGGTAAAGGTCGAGGTGATAAACCGATAGTTGAATGACTGCGACGATAAATGACGAATCGATCGCGACGGGCTGGCTAGATGCGGAGTTTCGGCGTGGGAGACGCGCTCGTAAACACACGACGAAATTCTCTCGACCGCGAATTCCGTTTCGAGAATCGCCATCGGTCGAGAAGGGATTTTTACACGTTGGCGGCTCGAGGGAATTGATGCACCACGTACCTTGTACCGCGCCGATCTGCTCGCCGTTCGCGGCTACCGCCACCTCCGGCGCGGCGCAGTTCATTCTGTACGTGCCGGGTACGTCCGTTGTACGGATCCGGGGGGATGGTATATATTACGTAAAAGCGTCCCTCCTGGTCGCAGTATACCTCATGTTAGGGGGGATCGAACCGAGACTACTATCGCGTCCACGTCTTTACGCATACTGCGCTCACGTCAACGGCCATATTGACACTGACGCTTGGCGCAGCTACCGCGAGAGAGCGTGCTCCGCGCCCCACCGTCACCACTACCACCACCCCACCACCACCGCCACCACTACTACTGCCGCTACTACCACTACCGGTCACCACCGACCGGCGCTTTGCCTCTCTTCCTTTTTTTTTATTTCTATGCTTTTATTTTTATTTTATTTTTTTTTATTTTTTTTATCTTGTTACGGCTCTAGCTTCACTTTCTCTCCGCGTCTCCGTTTCCCGCTCGTTCTCCCTTCGCTCGTCTCGCTCGTTACGATTCCTGCGACACGCGAGGACATCGGCCAGCATACTGTCGCGAGGACGTGCACGATGTTGCCGCAGCGCGGCAACGGCTATCGATGTCGGGCGCATTCGAAACATCGAAACTTCGATACTCGTCGTTCTTTCTCTCTCTCTCTGGCGCGCGCGCGTACATCTCATCCCTTATTCCGTTAGTCTGTCTCTCTTCCTCTCGGGAGGGGGTTACTAGCGCCGTTGGCGCGGAGTTTTAGAAATGAATGGCTGATTCGTCGGCCGCCCAGGTAACCCGGCCAATGGAAGCGCGATGCACGCGCGGCGCGCAAATCACGAACCGAGGACACCGTTATCCCTTCTCTGCGGCGGGCCCAATCAGATACGAGCAATTAAGTAATTGCGGGACACGCGCGGGCGCGCGCTAGACGCTACCATCTAGCTAGAGCGATGGTACTCAAACCCAATACCCGCTCACAATCCTCGAACGAGTACCTGGGATAGTCCCCGCTCTGAATAGGTATCGATACGCACTTTGGGAATATTAACAGAGCCGCAAGACTCGCGAGGATTCAGGCGAGCATCGGAGCGACTATCGATTCGAGTGGAGTCAACAGACTATGTTTTGAAATCGCGCGCTCTCGCATAATAGGAGCGCGCAAGGTAAGTGCACTTTTTCCCACCACCACCGCCGCCGCCGTTATATACCTGTCGATTGCGCGATAATAATAAACGATTTGGAAAGAATATACGATACAAAGATGACTGTATCCCAACACAGAGACATTTATCGAACGAAAAGAAAATCGTATATGTAATCTCGTTCACTCTCGTGTCGCGATTTAAATCGAGCGGTGAAATAATCTCATAATGTAAAAAAGAATAACCACGTCGCGTTATTATTCTCGTGTCATTAAAATTACATAATAAACGAAAGTTGAATCGATTTGTGAACACATTCATATTGCAGTCCACAGAAGTTTTATATAATCAAACTTATCATTATATATCAGACTTAATATATATGTAAAATAGCCTGAAGTTGAGAAAAAAAGTTTTTTTACCGCCACAACTAATGTCGGGTCGATTAATTTGCAGGATGACCAACAGAAAAAATTCCAACGACATAATTATCGTATGTAGTAGAAATTTTTGTCTTGCTGTTGGTCATTCTGCGAATTAATCAACGATCAAGTTTAAATCGCGTTGGTAGAAATGAAAGCGGAGACGAGAGCGAGGGGTTAAGCGTAAACTTCATGTTCAAAGGCAATTTCGGCGTGTTCCGGGCATCTAGTCGTAGAACATCTGTATCTTGGTGGATAATACACAGCGTATATATGTATATCGCATTTGAGAGCAGTGCACGCGTAGAATATACACGTTACATTTCGCGGATCTCGACGATTCGCATCGATCCGCCAGCGTATCTTGGCATAATCGGAGCGCGCAAGGTAAGTGCTACTTTTCCCGCCTATCCGTTGCCCGCGACTCCATGAATGTCCCGAGAAGGACGTACGCGCGTCGAATATTTGCAATTCGTAAGCCACTGATGGCCCGCTTGTTGCCGCTGTTATTGTCATCATCCCCGTCGATTCGTACGAGCGAATATTAAAGCTGCTACGTGTCGACTTTGCGAGGGAAAAAGGAATTGCGTGAATCGCGACAGCGACTTGAATTTGCGCGCGGCTTTTCGTTGATGTAGATCGATATATAAATGTATTCGTTATAATTTCGGGTTGAATAAATCTGCGAGTGCAAAAATTGTTTAAACACAGAACAAAATGTTTGATACGATATTCTGATGGATCTAGATTTACATGTTTATTCGAATATTTCGAACATATTAATACTTTTCTAATCGCAACTCTAGCATTGCATTTTTTATTTATAAAAATTGATCATAATTGAGATAATTTAAAAAATATCATATATTATATATATTTTAGTACAGACAGATATTTTAAATAAATTATAAATTGCCACATTGTACGACGTAAAAGTAGATGATTCACATGTATGAGATATTCTCATGCAATGTCGACGATAAACAGAGAGAGAGAGAGAGAGAGAGAGAGAGAGAGAGAGAGATAAACCTTATGCAATGATTCTTGTATGTGTTCCGATTTAAATTTAAAAATTGTCAGCTGACTCGCATCTTTTTTCAACACGATTGATAACGCAGACATAATTGGCAACATTACTTTTAAAATATTTCTGCCTTCCTTTCATTCAAAGGAATTTATTTTTCAATAAATATTTATAAAAAATCTGAATTTTTTATTTATATTCTGTTAGCAAAAGTTCTAGAGAGATGAAATTAACTTATATACATATAATATTAAAATAACTTTTTTTTATTATTTTATAAAATATTTCTCAAAAATAATGTGTACCTTTTCAGAGTTTTTCATATTTTTTTTTTGGAAAAGATTGGAAAGTGAAGTACTTTTATAAACACTTTACGACGCGTATATATTTTGACTCTTGCTCGTTTATTATCGAGATCATATTGAACGTAAACCTGGAATAGGGGTCATGGAGGTATATTTGGTACTGAATATACGGCACGCACATGCGGGATTATCCCTCGATAAAGTCAATGGACGAGTCTCATTTCCAAGCTCAAATACGTACTTTATGTATACATCTCTTGATTCATTTTCTAATATTATTTTTCCAACGTAAAAAATATCTGATTTTCATCTTATGTCTGGATTTTAAATATTTTCCATATTTTATAACTATCGGGCGAATTTCTCGAGTATATTCAAATGTCAAAGGTCGTGAAATAAGTACTTATGCGCGGAATGCGAAATATTGAAAAATCAAAGAGAGAGAGAGAGAGAGAGAGAGAGAGAGAGAGAGGGGAGAAAAGGGAGAGAGATACACGAATCTGCTGATATAATACAAACGGGGGATCTACACATTGAATATAATAGCTATTGAAATATACCATCGAGACGAACCATCGGCGATTGTTTCACAGTTGGTGAACGTATTGTTCAATCAGTGTATTTTATGTGAAATTAGAGAAAAATCAAAGAGAGAGAGAGAGAGAGAGAGAGAGAGAGAGAGAGAGAGAGAGAGGGGAGAGAAGGGAGAGAGATACACGAATCTGCTGATATAATACAAACGGGGGATCTTCGCATTCACACATTGAATGCATTTTTATATCCAAACATCTCGATATTGGAACTTTTATATACGAGTGGCCGCTTTCCATTTTTGCCTGCCTCTACCTCGCTGCAAGATAGACAGGATAATTGCAGTGCCGCATCTCATACGTACCGCTTGTATAAAGAGCTTGTTTACTTGGCGGGCAATGGTACGGGGGACTAACGTTTCTCGTTCAAGGCGTGCACGTTGAAAATATCGCTCGAGAGCCATAAGCGTCTCGGACTATCTGCTTTAGGTTGTCGTTCATATTAAGCGAAACGCCGAGCTTTTCATCTCGGATGCGGAGCAATTCAAAGTCGGTCGACGGAACAATATAATTGCGAAATGTAACCGCATTATGTCAATAGGGCTCTTACTTTGCATGATAATTAGGAATCATTAGTAACTTTAATTTCTTGAAAGGACATACAAATATATGTATACACATATTTTATATCTTATATGAAAAATTCACATCTAAATCTGTACATTTCGGATAATCACAGCATAAATATACTTTTTACAATTTCAAAGCAAACATTTAAAACATGTTCGATGTTTTATAACGCGGGAACACCTTGATTTTTATTATTTACGGTATATGTTTAGAGCGAAATATCATCATGTGAGTTTTAATCTAATAGAAATTCAATGTAACAATCATATCTTAATATAAATGTACAACAGCAAACAATCTCATCAAACGCTTACCTCTTTTTATGTAGCTTTTAATGATTATATTTAGACCCTTTATATAATAGCGTAATTAGAATAATTTATATATAATTTAATTTAAATAGCCGAGCTTTCAAGCCTCTTCATTTCATTAAAAAAAATTAACTCTCTTTATAAGATAATTTACTTGCAAAATAAAGTAGCCGGTGATCTTTCTAAGGCAATTACTGGGAGCAATTTACTCGTAATTTCGGGATGAACTGTAAATTAGCCACGACGAGAGTGTACCGATATCACATGTATGACGTGCACTGTAGACGTAATTTCCTCGTCGATTATATTGCAGCAACATAACAGCGCTTCTGTCAGTTTCCTGCCCACGCACATGGTACGAAACCAGTGCTTGGGCCAGTCGAGAAGAAGAGCCGCCGGAAGCCCCGTGGAAAAGGGCCGGAAGTATCTCGCTGGCGGGAAGAGACCATACCTACGACAGCGGTCAAAGGACCCCAAAGTTTCCCTCTTCCTTCTCAACCTCCGCCCTTTCTCTCTCTGTCTCTCTCTCTCTCTCTCTCTCTCTTTCAGCTCGTTACTGGCGAACCGTGTCGTGAAGTATAGTACCACAAAGCGAAGTACAACTCTCTCGACCACACGCGCTGCGCTCGACAAGCACGTCCGTAGCGCTGCCTCGAGCACCTCGTGTGTCATCAAACATCAACGACGTCGACAATCACGGCGACATCGACGACGACGACGACGGTCAACAACAGCGGCCATCGACTCCCACATCAAATCTCATCAACCTTTCAAAGTTCGTAGGTAATGCGATGCATATTCTACGAATGACGCGCAAAGGAAAGGTCGGTTCCATTGGCAACATGTGGAGAAAGAGAAACGGTAGGAGGAGGGGTGCGGAACGGTATTTATTATACTATTGGATCCAACAATTCCTCTTCCCCTCTCAAAAAAAAAAAAAAGGAGAACATTGATTTCAGATATATAAAGTCCGAGTTTGTGAATTAGAATTAAAAGAAAAAATGTATACCGCATTTGCATGTATGAGAGCAGAGAGAGAGAGAAACAGAGACAGAGAGGTATCCTCGACGCCGTCTCTCGTCGCGCCTGCGCTTTTCATGGAAAAGCTCGGCTCGTTCTCTCGGTCCTCGTCGGTCGTAGCCGTGATCCTCCGTTCCGCCGGTGTCGCCCACCTCGAGCTCAGTGAGCCGGTGTGTGAGCGCCGCGACGCCTAGAACAGCACTGTCGTCGTCGAACGTTGTCATCATCGTTGTCGTCGCCCTCATCGTCGTCGTCATCGTCCATCGTCGTTCCCCGTCAGTGTGGATTTGGCGACGGTTTCACGTTTTCCCCGATTCTCGTCCTCCTCGTCGTCGTCGTTGTCGTTGTCATCGTCATCGTTGTGGTTCTTTTCGATCGAGCGCCGTCTGTCCTCGTCGTCCTCGTCGCCGCCTGCGGTCATCGTCATCGTCGTTGTCATTGTCATCATCTCATTGCTCTCGATCGTATCACGGTGGTGCTGGACGCTATCTGAGAGGCACGCGACTACTTGGAGCGATTCTGTGCGCGAGTCGCAGTCGGCGCGGAAAGAGAGAGACAGAAGAGTGCAGTATACTACCCCTCGTCCCTCTCCTCCTACTCCGTCTATCTGTGTCTCCTGCAATTTCTCTCTTTCTCCTCTTATTCATCCTCTCTCTCTCTTTCTCTGTATATGCACGCTCTCGCCCTCTGCTGCAACCCTTGCCGCCGTCATCGCTCTCTCTCTCTTTTTCTCTCTCTCTCTCTCGTTCTCACTATCAAGTTTATCGCACAACGGCGTTCCGCTGCTCGTTGTACCGTGTTCGGCCACTATATCATCGTCTTTTTCTCGTTATCATTGGCTCACGTGCTACGCTACACAGATATACGGCGCTCTTCGACACAGATCTCGATTTTCACATCCCGCGAGTTTTCTCGTCCGCTTCGATATCTCTCGACGAGACGACGACTGCATAGAAGCAAGTGGAACGGCAGACGAGAGCAAAAGGGATAGAGAAAAGAAGTAAATCAGAGGGAACGAGGAAGAAAGAGAGAGAAGGGAAGACTGAAAAACGCGACGCGCAGAAGAGGACAAAGGATGTGTAGACGCCGTAGCATCGTGCCTGCAGGACCTCCGAGGTGGACATCCGTGTAAGAAAATATATTCGCGTGACGAGTCCTCAAACTTTTGCCTCGGGCGTGCATTCTCGTGTATAGAGAGGGAAAGGGGGGGAGACAGGAAGTGGGGGAGAGAGGAGTCAGGACGCTTGTTACACGGACAGGGAGGGCGTTAGAGCGAGAGCGCGGGAAAGAGGAAGAAAGAGAGAGTGTGAGTGTGTGTATGTGTGTGTGTGAGAGAGAGAAAGAGGGATAGAGAAGGAGCGAACGGGATAGATAGAGGAGTGGCTGGGAGGGGAACGTACGACAGAGAAGATAGCGATGCTCGAACGTGATGCTATGCACAACCGCGAGGGTTGTTTCGAACGACGACGGTAAATCGAATGATCATTTGATTCCTTTTGGATTGCGTGATAACGTATAACGCGCAGAGTCACGTACTGCGTGTCGCTGCGAGCGCGCCTTGCGGTTGCACGACGGCGATCAACGCGTCGGCGGATGACAGGAAACCCGCGAGGGATACGTCACAGGCCGATACGTTGTCCCGATACGTCGAATCTCGGCACGCTCGCTCGCAAGAAATCGTGTCGATGTCTGCATATATAATCGTTCTTACGTATTTGTCACATTTGCTTGCACGCAATTGTTGGTGTATATTTGTTATATATTTGAGATGATCGATGTATGCACGTTGGTGGTGTTATTGTCCGACGTCGATTTGTATCATACCGATAATGATTCGTACTCGCGTCACTAATTGATTGTCGTAGATTAAAAAAAGATCCAAGTATTATATGTATATACTTGAAAGTTTAAATGATCTTGTCTTTACACAAAACATCTCATTATCAGAATTATATTTTACACGAGTTTTTTAGACATGGACGGAACAGTTAAACTTAGTCTTAGATATCTTTTTTAGATATTATTAATTTTGACATTTAAATTTCTCCCTTCTCGATTTATGATATTTATTTAGTGAATCTCATTCGCGTTCGTTCCCAAATGTTGCCGCGTTTAATTCTAAGTCTTATGTATAACATGAAGATTCCATTCAATGTAACATCGTGGGATGAAAATCAGATAGATTTTAATATTAAATATGCGATGTGAATATGGACTGATGATGTAACATCTGTCCTTGATGTACCTTTGTAATATAAATGCATGCGTCTATATGGATAGCTTTTATATGAAAAGAATCAAGAGCCTTTATATTAAAACTGAGAAATTGATTTATTTTCAAAGAAATAATATAACATTTTGTACTATACATATAAGAGCAACTTATGGCACGCTTTAATTTATTTAAACTAGAGAGTGAGGGGTAGAGAGAGTTGATAGACTAATAATGTATATAAATCTATAAATATACTTTATATAAAAGTCATCCACAATCGAATTCAAATATCCAAGCAGAAATATGTGTCACATGAATATGTAAACTAGATATTTCTTTATCTGTGTGCGCGAGTAATAAATAATAAAGATTTTCGCTACCCTTAGTATTATGTCATTCTTCGATTTCATCGCAAGAAATACACAATACTTTGCTTCAACCATGACCTGTTGAATATCACAAAAGAAATTTCCTATTATAATTTCAGAAAAAGATACATTTTTTTTCAATAAAGATATTTGGAGAATTGCATCGCGCAAATAATGAAATGCACCACAAATAACAAAAAGTCGGATAAATGCGCATAAATTCAACGTGAAAAACGATTGGAGTAACAGTATTAATTTCGTATTAAATGTTCTATTGGCTTCGCATATACTCGCAGTGTCACTTTTACATTTAATAGTTTTTTTTTTTTTTATTAATGAAATTTAACTTGCTGTATTTTTGCCTCTTATCCTTTTTCAATCTTTTTAGAATGCTCTATCACAAAAATAAGCACATCAGTCTTTTTTAACACAGTATATGTTAACATATATGTTAACACGGTATATGTGTGATGATACACACATGATTATCATTCATTCACCGAATCTTCTCTATCTAATACGTACAAATAAATGATGAAAATAAAATGTTTGATGTCTTTCGTAACTCTTCCCAGAAAAAAAAACAAGATAATAACTATTTATTTGTGCGTATTCACAAATTAGAGCAAGTGATAAAATGGTAAGTTCATGCTCAGTCAACACCATGCTCTATATCAGTCTGTTAACATTAAAAAAATCTGATGATACTTCAGCTATCTATAAGTTCAGATATGTATTTCATTCACGCTTTAAAATGCTTCTATTGATTGAGCCAAAAAGAATATTTGTTTGCATTAAAAGTTTACATTACACAATTGATGTATAGATTAGATTTTATAAACTTGACGTGGTAAATCAAAGAGAGCAGACAATTTAATTTAAATAATAAAAGCATTTCTTTTAATATAAACAGACATCACATAAACAAATAAAAATACAAATAGTATTGATACGAATGATAAAATCATTTACAAGAAATCTCATAGTTTTTCTATTTGAGAAAAATGATGATAATTAGTCTCTCTCTTATGATTTTCAATCTTATATAGAGCGTTACATTAACAAGAAAATGCCAAATGCAAATTTGAATTTAAAATGAATAAAATGGAAAAAATGTGTAATAAAGATAAAAAATTGTAAAACTTGTGGAAAAATAATGTGTGAAATACTATATGAAAACATATAATGTTTGTGTAATAACTATAAATCTTTCTTGAAACTACTGACGAGAGATAAATCAGAGAGATAACATCTGCAAAATAGCACTTCAAATGTAACGCGCTATGTAACCGGATATAATCTCGTGGCGAAGCACGGACTTTTGGCTCTTGTGATTTATCAACGCGTTTTACACGATGTCGGGCGAGGAAAGCTGATTATTTTCGGCGTGAATTCAGATCGCTCTCGTTGCGAAATGGAACGCTTTTAACGGTGCTTACACCGTAAAATAGGAAGCTGATACCAGGCGCGTATCAGCGTTATCGCATAATATGAATTTATACGACGATGCCTTTCTATTACGACCGGCGATGGTGGCAGCGACGGCGGTGGAGTAATATTACCAAGTCGCCCCGTTGTAATGTATAGCCGTATACGTGCGGCTCTTTCTCTCTCTCTCTCTCTCTCTCTCTTTCTCTCTCCGCGGCCCATAAAGCGAATAATATAGCTCGCACGCAAAATGAAATATTTCAATTGCGGGACTCGCGGTAATTGTGCGCGCGAGCGCGTCGTTTCAATTATCCTAACGAATTACGGCGAACGCGAATTTCGACGCACGCGCGGATTCCAAGAGCGGATCTCACGCGCCCGGTCTTCGATCGAGCGATCCGGATGTGACATTCAAAAGGACGCGCGGGGAATATAATGAATATGTAAATATTCAACGGTGTGCACGGCACGTTGCCGCTTGTAAATAGCGGAATGTGTGTAACAGGTGGTGCGATGTCTGTCTCGCCCGGTGTCTCGCTCTTAACAATGACGTATAGATCGACTGCGGGCCGCGATGATGTAATACTGACGGGTGGATATGGGCCTTCGGGCCCTCGCAACGACGCCGTACACGACGTATCGAGTTCCTCGCGCTTTATTATAGCTGGTGTTCACGAGCACCGAATGCACACGCCCGTTCCTTTGTTCGTTCGTATGCGATACACACATGCGTGCGTTCGTATACAAGATACGTATACAAGACGTGCAACACGCGGGGTCTGCGGGCGCAGAACGTGTACGACGGGCAATAAAAGTTAACGGCGCATTCCTACGATCGCACGCCATCGCGCAATAAAAATTTTACGCGAGCCATAAATAATTACAACAAATACACGTATCGTTTCTTCTCGATTGTTCGTCTGAAGCCTGAATTTTCGGGTTATCGTTCCGCCCACTCGTTAGAACCTCGAACCTCGACACCGACACTCGTTTTTACTCTCTTTCTTCGTCCTTATAAAGAAACCTTTCCAGACCCCTATAGGAGTTACGCGAAGTTCGATTTTATGAACGGCATATGAAATGCGCGAACTCGCGCTTTGCGCAACTTTTGCAGCTCGTATATATAAGGTTTCTTTTTAATTAATTTATTAATGCAAACTAAAAGTTAGAAGCGTAATTAAAACGAACTTGATAGAGAGGTGCAATGATCAAATATACAAGCGCAAGTGCATATAATTCATTTTAGTTAATTCATTAATTTACTAAAATTATAAAATTTTGCTAATAATATGTAAATCGTATTTTTATATATGCACACACGTTTTGGGGAGAAGAGATTTACGTTCAAAATTATAATCTTCGACGAACGAATAGGAACGATAAAAAGCAATATGAGGATACTACAATCGGTACGCGATTCGAAAGTTAAACCCAGGCAATAAAGAGCGTATCAGATAGCCGGATGAAGTATACTAGCAACAAAACTCATCAACATGGATTACAGTAACATTCATTAATTCATTAAAATTGAAACTTCTTTTTTTCAATTAAGTGGGAAAACTGGCAAATAAGAGCCCAGGCGCGATTATTGGTGCGCGAACTTATTATTGTTATATTTCAGTAATAAATGTGTATTTTTTTTAAATGTAAAAACGTGGTTTTTAGTAAGTCTTGCTTTTTGATTATCGATTTTAATTTAAAATTTAACTGCAATAACAAATATCAAGTTTCAAAGTTCTAATATTTTACTTTTTATATATTTATATCCATGCTGAAGATGGACCAAAAAACATTTAAAAAAATACATATTTATTACTATATTTATTAAATATAATAATAAGTTCGCGTATCAATACTCGCGCCTTGGCGCCAATTTTTCCACTTAATTGGTAGTACTCTGAGCCTGTTATTATATTCTTTTTTTCAGTCATAATAAATTTGTATTATTCAGACCGTAAAATGAACCGAGTAAAAGTATATGTTCGAGTATCCGTGATCTTTAGACTCGCTCTTTATTACGTCATTGCAAAGAGCTTCGCAATTCGCTATCGAATCTCTGTCGCGTTGACCTTCGGCGTTTCGCCAACGAAACGATCGGCGGCACATAATATAACGATATGCGTGGCTCGATATTTTTATGCCGCTCCGACATGCATTGTATGAAGGTCGCGATCTTTTGCAGGTTTCGCTTTACATCCCGCAGACTGCTGTCAACTATGATATAATCGTCCCTCCAACTTCCTCTCGACCTCCTCATCATCGACGCATCGTGACTACATTGTCGTCCACGCTGCAAGATGAACAAACGATTTCTGAGGAAGTACGTAATGCGTTCGATGCGCTGTGAGACAACGAGATGAAATCGCGCGGTGTTATTATTCGAAAGATCTGAATCGATTCGCGTCGCGTCGGGTAAAGCTCGACAGTGGTGATGCGCGGCCAGATAATCATGATAACCGAGCGTGTTTTTATCGCAATGTTGACAAAACAGTCGAGGAACGTATACGAAACGCACGTGTGATCCTGCATCGAGTTGACTAGCCGCTTGGATCCCACGTGTGCAAGCACGGACGCATCCTTCGAAAAGCAGATCATTCTCCAGTAATCGGTGAGTACCTGCTATTCACTATCAAGTACTCTTTGTCAACAGCGTTTGCGGCTAAACACTAAACACGTCTATTGAAGACTTCATAATGAAAAGATATGAAAGCCTTACTGAAAGACATTTTCTTTCCATCTTATAATATAAAATAATTTTGTTTTTTTAATTGAAATAAATTCATCTAATTTTGTTTACTAACCAATTATTATCTTATAATTGTGCAAATAATTATTTTTATATTTATAGAATCATCTTAATTTTATATATACATACATATAAAAGATTGTTTAATGCATTATCTTCCGAGGTTATATATATATATTTTTTGTAACACACACACACACACACATAATTTTTTCGGTATATGAAAAAAATTCATTTTTTTAAAGATGCAATCGTTATATCTAACTTGTTTAAAATAATATTTTTGATTACATTTTGATTCCATCCAATTTTTCAGCTAGGAAATTGAAAATAAAACTGTTTCGTTCATTCACGAAATTCTTTAATGATTATGAATTATTCAATATAAAATTAAGTGGGAAAACTGGCAGATAAGAGCCAAGGCGCTGGATATATGCACGAACTTATTATTGCACATTTGTTAATAAAATTTAACAATAATAAGTTCGCGCACCAATTCCCGCGCCGTGGCTTTTATCTGCCAGTTTTCCTATTTAATTGTTAGTAGAGGCTCTGAGTCTATTGCTGTTATTATTTAATATAAAATATACAAATTACTAAGAGACCTAGCAACTTCTTGCGCTTTAAATATATAATAAATATATAAATAAAGAAAATTCTAATATATATATATATATATATATATATATATATATATATATATCATTCTATATATCACTTTGATATATTCTCGTCATATCGCATGTTGCAATAACAAGGTTAAATCGTGCTGATAAACTCTGGAATTTATACACATTACATATTTCACAGATTTTATCGCGGTCAAAACGCGAAATTTCTTTCCATTTAAATACCATATTATTTATTCATTCGTTTATCGAGGAAGGAGAAAATATTGAACGTTATTTTATCGATTGATAGGCCGAAAATGTCGGTGCGATTATTGATCGGAACGAATTGTTGCGATGGCAATTCGATATATCGCGGTTTCATGAGACGCCAGCATAATACTGAATGCAATGCACGTTAAACGCGGCTGCGTGTTGCGTATATCTTGACGGGGACACGATAAATGGGGGTACCACAATGTTCTCTCAATGCAGGTGGAAGTCGTAATCGCTCTGGTGCGCGCGCTATTATTCCTCAACGGCCGGCCGTGGTTAATTGGAGGTAATATTCAAAGTAATTCTCAGTCCTCGACAAGAATACGGTCTAATTGACTTGTAAGCCGACGTTCGATCGGCGGCTGATTGCAGACGGGATAAGTATTTCTATCTCTGAGAAGCCGATATTACCTAAGTTTGCGAGAGCACATCGGATTTTCCCTATACTATTCATGTTAAATCTTTCATAATATTTTCGCATCAAGTTATTCCAAAGTCATCACAATTATTTTGCCATCACTGTTTAATAATAGTATGACGTAACGTAAAAATTTGCCATAATTGTTATAAAATTAAATAAAAATAAACTTTTTCCTTACGTACGAATAAAATTCATAAATGCGGAAAGAGAGAGGCAATTTCTTATTAATTCTTGAAAAGCTATCTTGAATAATTGTTACCGGCGAGACGAGGTATACTTTCCGACTATCATTTTGCTACTGATATTCAATTCCAGCGAAGACCGTGCGAGAAAGCATAATTAACGCCGTCGGATTGCAAATTCACTCTACTATAAATATTTGCATCTCGGAACTCCGCGCACAAAGCTTGCATACATTTGAATATATCTTCTTTCCGCGGAGATTCCGCGGGCGAAGCGCGCATATCGGCGATACGACTCTAACATCGAGCTCGGGGTTTATTTCAATCTCGGTAATTCGTGACGTTGATCTTCTTGGATCTACAAAATTAAAGCGAATTGACGAAGAGCCGTAGACCCGAAGGAACGGAATGAAAATGAAGCAATAATTCCCTAATATTTTTAAATTTCGAAAACAGCATAAACCATGAATCTCGTTAAAAGATATAGAACGAATCACGAATATGATACAAAAAAAGAGATAATTTATAATTAAAAAATAGGTGGTTTGGTATATATTCTCTCTATCTTCTTTATTTAATTTTTTTCTAATTCTATCCAGCAGACAATATATGATTTCGCTTAAGAGAAAAATAATTTCTTCAAAAATGTTTTAAATTCTTATATATACTCTTGTATCATATACATAACATTTTATTGTGTTTTTATATCTGGAAGAAATATTTCCAATTTGTATTCTGTTTTTAGTAAATCAATATACTATACATATATAATGATCAATCTTGCTAATTTATAGATTGTTGAATTCTATTGTAATTTAACATATTCGCCTTTCGCCATTTTCGAAATAAATGGTCCATTTAATTCCTGTAATTTCTGTAATTGTCGTAATTTTCCAATGGACCGCACCATCATTCGATTATCGACGTAACGAATTTTCTCGCGAATCGACTTTAATCCTTGGTGCCGCAGCGTAATTTCTAGAAACAGTTTGACATTTAAATATCTTCTTTTATCTTGACAATAATAGTATTGCGTAATGTAATTACCAACTTCCGTCAGTTTTAACATTATAAAAATATTTGCAGAATAATTTTCGATTATTTAAATCACAATCTCAAACGTAATCTCGAATGTTTATTAATCCTAAATCTTTTTATCGCAAAAATAGTTATCGATAAACGATAATAAAGCGAGTAATAATATAAAAGGTTTTTTTTTACTTCAAACATTTATTGTAATTCCATTTGTAATTTCTTTGATTGTGACACCGATATGTATTAATCCTAAATCTTTTTATCGCAAAAATAGTTATCGATAAACGATAATAAAGCGAGTAATAATATGAAAGGTTTTTTTTTACTTCAAACACACACACACACACACACACATTAATTGTAATTCCATTTGTAATTTCTTTGATTGTGACACCGATATAATTTTGCGATAAGATTAGATGTAAATTTTGCTGGCAAATATGAGGCGCATTTTTCCGTATCCGTAGCATTGTAGAAGATTGAACTCGAAATAACAACGATCTCAATACTTGCGCTTTTATAGCACGCATGAATAAAACGATTCACAAAGTGCAGAGAGGGTAGAATCGTCGAATCGAAGCGAGGGTTTCGAGCAAACGCAAGCTCGGGATGAGCGAGCGGAGTCAATGAACTTTCTCCTCGTGCGTTTACGTAACCCCGTCCGTGTGTAAACATATCGATCTCTTCGCGGGAACGTGAGCTTCGCATTGTAGCTTTATTTCGTCGCAAAATCGCTGAGCGACGAAACTACTTGGATAGGGTCAAGTCGACGCTCGTCCTTGGCCCTTTTGTCAAGCCAATTTTCGCGCAAACCCGTGCATCATCGCGAACAATCGCGTGTTCCGATTCGCGCGTTCCGCATTCCAATCGCGTCGCGTCACGTCGCAGGGTGCTATATACGTCACAGTTGCCTAAATATTCTCAAGTGCCTGCGCGTCGTACGTGCGTGCGACGAGAATGCTTTTTTACCCGCGCTAGAAATTCGATCACGCCCGAGAAGTATCGCGAGAAACGCGTTAAAATGAGAATATATTTTTCGTACGCTTGGCGTTTCTTGTTTCCGCGCTGTGTTTCCGATTGTTGTACAACTTCTCATCCTGCGTCCAATCTAACCTATGGACGTTGGCGCTCCACACACATACCCGGAACATTTTTCCATGAGAATTATGTAAGTAATGTAATAAACTTTTGGAAAAGTAAGACAGAATAGATTTGGGCAAGTGGCAAATCGATTTTGATTAATTCAGATATAAATGCTGCAATAAATATGAAGCAACAACATATGAAGGGGTCTTTTCTACAAATATGTATTTTTTCCACTTGCCCTATATGTATAGGTTATCTTAATTCTTTCAGTAGAATGTCTGGTATGCTAATTTCAATAATTTTTCCAAGAAATATATCTCATTTTCCTTGAACAAAATACAAATCGTCGCTCGTATTCGCGGCTTTTTATTCGGGCCGATTCGTGTGCATCGTCGCGTTCCAATTCAAGTGTTCCGCACTTCAGTCGCGAACGTTCGGCGGCATACGTCACAGTTAATAAAATATTCTCAAGCGATCGCGCGCGACATATAGGACGGAAATGTTGTTTTTTATCCGTTTGAGGAATTCAGGGTCACGCGCGAAAAATATCGCGAGAGACGCGTTAAATGTGAATATGTTTCTCGTATATCTGGTGTTTCTTTTTCGTCGTGCAATCCTCACGCAATTTCATCCTGCATCCAGTCTAACCTATCGACGTTGGCGTCTCATACTTCGGAGGCGAAATATTCCTCGATAAGGACAATGTAAGTAACGTAACAAATTTTCGAAATACGTATACTGGGATAAATAGCACATTGGTTTTGATTAATTCAGATATAAGCATTGAAGCAATAAGTATGAAAAAACGGAGGTATTTTTTGTATAAATTATGAATTGAGAGTTTTTAAAATATCTAAAACTTGAATTTTTTTTTGGCTCCGACAAATTTATAAACATATGTAACAAATAAAACTTTAGTTTTTATATTAGCTCTATGTTTTACCTGGTCTATTCTGTCTTAATTATTTCAGTAGAATGTCTCACATACGCGAATATATCAATAAATTTTCAAGAAAGATATATTACATCATTTCCTTTGCGTAAAACTCGAAACTTTGCCAAATATCTTCAACTTGTACCCTTAACACGTAGAAAGAGTTTATTTCCAAGCCGTCTTAAATCCATATTTTAAAGAATGGAGCTTATACATTATAAAACTTTTCATAGTGAACATCGGAAAAAGTTAACAATCGCAATGCTAGGAAAATTACTCACCGAATTCGAAATCCGCATCGCGTAGCAACTTTTCGGTAG